CACTCCCGCCACAACGTGTACCGTGGTGTGGGGGTCAGCCTTGGCCATGGCAGCCAGATGGAAGAGAACGTGCTGATTGGCTGCGATACCAATATCGGGGCCAATTGCCATATCTCCAACAGTGTCATTGGCAACAACTGCATCATTGGTACAGTCTGCATTCTGTTTTATACATGCAATACATTTCTGTGTTAGTTATTTTATAGACATTTTTTATCAAATGAAGTTTTACCTGCTAATATTTACATTTTAATTCCTTTATCTGAAGCCTTCATCCAAAGTAACTTATAGTAAAGGGAAGTGTTACAATTTATTTGTGCTCCCTGGCTTTTGAATACTCTACTTGTTGAGCTGCTATCTAAAGTCAAATTGAGCTTCACAATTTTATTGAAGTAGTTCAGGTTAAGCATCCTTCTGAAAGGCACAACAGCTGGACCCACTGGGGATGAAACAAATGCATTTTTTAAGTCTCTCTTCTTAATTGCCTCACTGCCTGAAATGGCTTCTGGTTGCTGTCTTTAGGAGACAATGTGATTCTGGATCGGGCCTATGTCTGGAACGGTGTGCGCATCGCGAGCAACTCGCAAATAAGGCAGTCGGTTCTCTGCGACAATGTGGAGGTGAAGGAACGGGTCATTCTACATCACCAGTGCGTGCTTGCTTATAACGTGAGTATGCGTCAGACTGTGAAAATAACAATAACGTCCTTATTATATATTTAAAAATTGTAATCACATTTTCTGATGTCCTTAGGTTGTGGTTGGACCCAACATTTCACTCTCTAAAGGCACAATGATTTCAATGCACCACCCTGATGAGGAAGATGAAGATGATGACGATGAATTCTTGAGTGATACAGAAGTCAGCAGCAGTAATAGTAAAATGAAGCATAGAGGTATATCGATGGGAAAAATAATATTTCTCCTCTGAAGTCAAGAATTTACATGCAGTTTTTAAATAGGATGTATGATTCTCAGGTGGTTCTCACAAATTATTGCCTTTTTCAGTCTGTTTTTGTTTTTGACATTTTCATGGTCTAGGTAGGCTTTCATATCAGTTCAGACTCTCAAAGGGCATTGTCTTCGTTTCAGCCTTCGATGTCGCAGAGGTTGGAGTTGATGGTAAAGGGTACGTCTGGAAGGTGGCCAACCAATGCGAGACTGAGGAAGACAACCTGGCACAGTGTCTGTGGGGTAAGCCTTCCAGCTGAAGGGAATCGCTCATTTCAGCCCCAAGACAGCTGTTTGTAATTGTTAGATTTCATTCTTCAAATGAGCCATGTTAATTGGCAAAGACAACCAACATTGTGTTTTATATTATAAATCTATATAGTACAAAGATATGAACATTCATTATTTAATTCATTTCTTACTTATGCTCAGTGTTGGAAAATATTGTATATATGTATTTTATAATAACTGATTTTATTAGGTGCACAAACAAAATGAGAATTGTAAAGTAGACTGTACATCCCTATGTTAAATGTTTACTTCATTATGGTTGGTACAGCTATAAATCTGAATACTTAATTTTCTGTGGAGTATCCCTATTTGCAGTATTTCTTGGGGTTTTTATTTATTCCTCTGCCTAAAGGGGGCGCTATTCAGGGATAACGACTGAGGTGCTCTGTTCCTAGGGCTGGAGTTGAATCATGACTTCGAGAGTGATACTGAGGGTTATACGACCGACGACTCCGACAGCAACGGTGACCCTGGCATTTCCCCCGAGCCCGATGATTTAGGTGAGTTACGGCAGGTGGCAGTGGGTCAGACCCTGCTTAGGTGTACCTGTGGTCTGAGGGGGGTCTGTCTGCAGTGTTCCAGGTGGAAGTGCTGGGGACCCTGCAGCGAGGCAGTGAGGAGAACATCAGCTGTGACAACCTGGTGCTAGAGATCAACTCCCTCAAGTAAGACGTCCCTTCATTTAGTTAAAAAACAAATCGGTACAGTTCATTACAAAACTTCTAATTTATTTGTGATATGTCGTACTTGTAGAACAGTAAGTTTCCAGAGAGATACGTAGAGCAAATCACCCTTATGAAACTATTTGAGGTCTGCTTGCTTCCCTTTTGGTAATTCCATCTTAAAACATGAGATTGAATGTTCCAAATTACCCTGCTAAGGGATGGAATTTGCTGAGGCATTAACCGCTCGGAAATCACCCGGTTCATGTTGTAGGTTCGGCGTCCCTGGAGTGATATTGATGACAAACTCACACAGCTGGATTCTCTCCCCAGATACGCCTACAACATCACGCTGAAGGAGGTGATGCAGACGCTTACTAAGGTGGTGCTGGACTTCCCCTTCCAGCAGCAGGGATCCCAGCTAACGACAGTCCAGTACTGCTCTCTGCTGATCCCTGTGAGTGCTGATCCTTAGCTCCTGCTCTACAAGGTGAACCATACCACTCCCATAACAAGTCACCAATGAAGCATGACTTTGCTCTTCCTCTTCTTCCAGCTATTGAAGAAGTGGACCCCTGTGTTCAAAAACTACGTGAAGAGGACTCAGGACCATCTGGACTGTCTGGGGGCTCTGGAGGAATTCTTCCTCGAGCATGAGTCCTGCTGGGGAGCTATGGTTAAAGTGAGTACGCTAGTCCCGTCTCCAACCAATCACAGCAATGCTGAGACAAAGTGAAAGAATATCAAGCCTTTGATATTAGATTAATAGTACCCTATAATTAACATTTTTTAAAAATATTTTGCAGATGTAATAAATCTTTAACCACATAGGCCCAAACGTGTTGGGTATCTCTTAACTTATGTCGTATCGAGTAGCGTCCGATTGCATTTATGTTCAAGTTCCATAGTAAATAATATACACTAATCGAAAGATGCCTGAAAGGAGACTTAGTGTGATGTTGGCGGGTGTATCGCTTAGTGTATACAGCTTGCATGCAATAATGCAGTGTTTCTCAACCCCAGGTCCTTGTTTTTGCTCCCTCCTAGCTCCCTATTGGGGAGCAAAAATGTGGACTGTCTCTGGGGGTCCCTGAGGACCGGTTTGAGAAACACTGCAGTAATGTATCTGTGATTAACAGCTAATATAAGCAATTAGGATAGATACAGGACCTGCACTGTGCTGTTTTGTTGCGTAAAAAGAAACTTACTGTACGATAAAATATTTCACCACAGCTTCAGGCATAGTCTTTTTTCTCAGCTCTTGCTGTTTGCTATCATCCGCTTCTTTTGATTTCATAGTGCCATTCGTGCCTTATTTTTCATGAAATTTAAGTGCAATCTTGTTTTAATATAGTGTTGTGATTTGCATTATAATTTGCTGTAGAGTACTGTGTGTATATCATAGTGTACTTAATGCCTTGCCTCTCCCCTATAACTATTCAGATATGCCCAAAATTACTTGCATCCGGTATTTCTGGTCCCAGATGCAGACGAAAGTTTGACCCAAATATAAGTTCCCTACTAAAAGTGGGAAGCGGTTTGCTTGAAACGTTTTCTGTATGCATGAGCTGCTTTACATCTGAAAGGTAGTTCTTTCATTTTAATCTGCTTAGCTTAGATGGGTCTGTATGCTTCATTTCCAGATCCTGATGAATTTCTATGAGCTGGAGATCCTAGAAGAGGAGGCCATTATGTGTTGGTTCTCCAACGGGGCGACTTCTGACAAAAGCCGACTTTTGCGGAGGAACCAAGGGGTAGGTCCCGTGTTTTTCTGCTAACGTTTTGGTTGTGTTGGCTCAGAGTTTGTCTCTGAATACCTTCCATATTTGGCTATGATCCATAAATGTTTATGTCTATTCAAACAGCAGGATCCCTTCTGGCACTTAAACCGGCATTAAGAATTATGCTACTTGCAGTTTTGTCATCGCTGTTGTCACACTCAAGAGCATCTATCATCTCTCTTAGCTCCTCAAGTTCATTCAGTGGCTGGAGGAGGCTGAGGCCGAGTCTTCTGAGGAAGATGGGAAGTAACTCCTGGCAGGGCCCCCTCAGAGCACCACTTGCGTACCTCCAGAACATAACTCTGGGTGGGAAGGCGTTGTGGCCAAAATCAGGAAGTAGAAGGGTCAAGAAAGAGGACTAGCTTTCATTGGAGAATGTGGCATATGAGTATTGACTAGCCTTGTTCCACCCCACCCCCCCATCTGAGTTTTGGTTTTCCCATTTATTTATTTTGTATGAGACAGACACCTTTCAAAGCAACACCGTGACTTTTAAGAACAGTACCGCAGGGTTAATATATTACAATAGACAGACATGCATGAAATGCAAAGCTTCCTCTATTCATTTCCAGATTACCACCTTGGCCACCACTCTGTCATTTTGACTTCTACACTCATTTAATGTCACTGAAGACAGGTCAATCTTGGTCTTCAAACAAGCAGGGTAGCAGGGTGTGTCTGCATTGTCTGCATATATTCTTGGCACAGTGTCAGCCTCCAGTGCCTTTTCAACTTGAAACAACTGACAACCACCTTTCAAATCACATGTGAAGACCGATCTGCATCTGGACAACCCTTCCTGGAGTTCACTGCAGAAAGAAATTCTGTCCACCTCCCATGGTTCTGGTTCATACCACCCAACTGGTACTTCTGAAGAAATAAACCAGGTCTGAAGCATCCCAAAAAGCTCATCTTCAGAAAATTCCAGACTTTTGCTGTAGATCCATTTGTTGTTCACTCATTTCTCACCCTTTTTTATGGAATGGGCATTCAGATGTTGCCAATGAGGGAAGAGAAAACCTTAATTAAACGGTGTCATATACAAGAACTTGTGGTTCATAGACTCCCTATCTGGTGCATATGCTAGGCAGCGCTGTGACTTGCAGTTCAGTAGTGTCACTGTACATTTGTCACATGACCACGAAAGGATGGAATAAAAAGACCTTAATTTAAAAATTGTCACTGTGTATTATTGCTGGGAAAGATGCCTGTTCATTCGGGATCATCATGGAGTAACACTATTTCAGACATTCATGCTAAAGTTTCGGTTAGCTTGATGCTGCTCCCTGACTTTCCTGCAAACACTAGTACAAATATTTATGCATATTTAATTCAAGTTTATTGTAGACAATGCATGAAGTATTTTGATTGGTTGACATTTCAGAAATTGATTTTGGAAAAGCACACACACCTTAAAACGAAGTTTGTGTTCCAGTACTGTTTTGCCTCTTTACATTTCAAGCAAGGCAAGAGTTTCTCAGTCTCAACAATGAATGGAAACAATCAAATAGGCTATGAAATGAAAGTCCAGTCTGTCAGTAACCTGAGAACAGAGACCTGGCTTCCACATAAGGGGTTTTCCATGTTGAGCTGTAATATAACACATGCCATAAGGGGACTATCGTGTTCAACATTTGGACATGGATGCACGATATTTAGCCGCATTTGTGCTATAAAGCTGTGCTTCTGAATGTCACAGCATGTTAAACATAAATTGCAAGGAAAGGAATGTCGACAGTCTCAGGTGTTAGGGTTAATGGGGATTACACAAATCATGTTACATGGGGAAGGATTTCAAGGCCTAGTCTGTATTTCTGGTTTCTTCCTTTGTGTTGTACCTTCTATAGATCACCCAAGCCAGTAGGGCAGCACCTGTAATTCCAAAGAAGGCAGACAGTAGCTTCCACATGTTAGCAGAATTGTGGTGCATCTGCATGAAGCTACGGTGGTCACCAAGAAACAAGAGGTATGGGCGGCCGTCATGGGGGGGTTGCAGGATTAACAGGTGGTCATGTTCCAGGACCACCTGCCCAAAGCCTGTCAAGACAGTCCCCACACGCAGGAGCTCTTCTCTCTCTTCCAGGACCATGGGCTTTTCCCTGCTGAGCTCTTGGACCACAAAGTGCACTAATTCCTTCTTGGCGTGCCGCACACGCTGGTACACCTGCTCCAGGTAGGATCCTCCTGCTTCCATGGGTGACTGGACCTTAACTGACACAGCACTTATGAATGTCCCTGGTGCCACCAGGCTGAAAGGCACTGAATTGTTTGTCTCCTTCTTGTTCATATTCCTGACATTCCTGAAGGTCAGAATGGAGCAAAGCAAAGCAAGAATGTCACTATCGCTGAAAACTTTCCACTAAGTGGAAAACTTCCCTGGTCATATTTATCCCTTTGAAACATACATTTTTTTCACTGTGGTGGATTAAAAGATGCATTTCTTTCCAAGCTTCCCTTCAAACTATTTGCCTATTATATACACTGAGGGCCTTTTCCAGACTGGACCCTCCCCACCACAAAATGCACTCTGTTAGTGGTCACACACACAGCTGAATGAAGTTCCCTTCATTAAGGGGTGTTTCTTAATATCAAGAAGGCAAAGATCATACTGCTAACTTGCCTCCCAAGAATGAACTTGGGGCACAATGAATGATGGGATTGGTCTCGTTCGGCGAGAATGCAACCGACGTATCCTTGATATTTGGGGCATGGAAAGAACGACATTCAGGGATTTTTACCATTCTCTGTACTTCTGTTAGGCTCCGGACCCCCCGCGACCCAGAAGGATAAGCGGGTTGGAAAATGGATGGATGGATGTACTTCTGTTCTTAGTATTGGAACTGGTCTTGGTCAAAGAAAAATGATGTAAAACGGGTACGCAAGAACAGAAGTATAGTCAAGTACGCATATTGAGAAATACCCAAAGTGTAGGGTATAAATACAGTGACAAGCTTTGGGACCAACCTCCCTTTCTTCAGCAAGAATAGGAACTGTCATACTGTCGTTACTATAGATTCCTATCGACATATTTCAGGAGTGCCGTGATCCACAAGTTATGGAAAACGAGAGGAGAAGATCTTGCAGAAGGCACAGATGTTTAACATGGCTTTTAGGGTTAATGCACTGGAGAATGGTAGTGTTTTTTTGTTTTTGTTTTTCCCACAATCCATGTAAATACAAAACTACAAACAACTGAACACGACTATTGTTTTCTGAACTAGAGAAAGGTATACATGGCCTGAAACTTTAAGTTTTTAATGTCTGAATAACAGTATTAAATGTCTAATCTTATTTTAGAGTAAATCTTTGTATATGTAGTCACAGGGAACTTAAATTTATGCAGCACGTCTTCCATAATGAACACATAAGGTGTTGCCTGTTGTTGGTAAGTCAGCATCGATGCCGACTCTGTGTTGGAGGGTTCTATAGCCCACTTTCTCTCTGCCATAATTGGTCTGGAATAGTACTTGATGTGGCAGATCTTCCAGATGAACACCCAGAGTGGACATGGGTAGCGAGAGGCTGCAGGATCTAGTTGGGAAAAGGCCCAGAGATTCCCCAAGTCTTCCTTGCAATTGCTCTAACACTTTAGACTCTGATGAATCCTTCCCAGTGTTCTGCCTTCAGACTAAAGTTACACCCCTGCATTTGACATAAGCGTGACTTTAAGAAAGAGTATCATGGCTGCAGCTTATCTGTTGAAGCACTTACCACACTCTCGTAAGAGGGTTCCACACCTTCCAGCGCTCAGACACAACAATCTTCTGGATCACTCCAAAGCATCTGGGAACATACTGACTGGCCAAAGGATTTCCCTCTGGCTGAACCACTCCTGAAACACACGTCTGACATCTCAGGAATGGCAGAACATTTATCTATTAAATATCTTATAGATAAGAATTTCTTGTATTGATAAATATTAGAGTTTATTTATTACACTGGTTAAGAGGTTTACCTTCAATTGCGACATACTGCAGGTTTTTGTACGGTGTCGCTTTTACAATCTTTACCAATTCTTCATTGGGCTGAAATGTTGGTATTTCCTTTGTTTTAAAGCAAGAAATGAAGTTAGATAGGTAAACTGCATATTATAATACAGACCATGATATAGTAACAATCTGGTAGAGATTCTTGATTAAGTTTACATATTACATTCACTTATTACAGTTAACTAGCATACAACTTTCTACTGTTACGGTGCAACATCCATCAAATCAATGATGCTCAAACTTTTTTTGGCAGGGCCCCCCTAGGGCTGATATATTTGCCCTGACCACCCCTAACATATAACCCCAAATAAATATTATCATGCAGCTAGTAAGAGTAAGAACAATTATGCAACAGAGGTAATCGTTACCAAAACGTCGTTCGTTTGGTGAATGGTGTAACTCATGGAGTACAACTCGGTAGTTTGATAGAACAACACAAAACTGATGGTCATTACAGCAAAGCAAGTCAGTTCTGTCCAAATATATGTCTGATATTCTTCTGACTAATTCCGTCACCGTAGAACTAGCTATACATTATAAAACGGCAGTGCTTTTTGCTGCAGTACTTTACCTAGCTGCTAGTACAATATATATTTTTGCATTCCCCACGAAGAGTAGAATTCCAATCATCTCTACCCACGCTGATTTCCAAAGTCAAGCATGATTGATTTAAAATTCACAAATATATTAAATATTTCAAGAAAAATGCTGTCTATGCAGCCAGAGCGCTACTATAGCTTCAAGATCACGGCGAGGGGCCCCGTAAGCCGTACTCCATATACTTACGTGTAGCTTTTTTATCTCTTGTTTCTTTTGCCTGTATAAGTGATAAAACAGGCCAGAAAACGCGAAAGCTGACCCGACACAGATGGCAGTCAAAGGACTTACAGGCTCGTCGCTCATTTTGTGGCTGCAAATCGAAGACAAAATGATGAATAAACTGCAGTGGATTTAAACATACTATTTTCCTGGATTATTTTCATTATTATATACCTATAACTGGAAAATGTATATTCACAGAGTACCAATACCTGATAGTTTATTGTTCCTGCCTATCCAAGACAGGCTAAGCCCAGGACCAACGGGACACATGACAGGGGTCACGCTGGTAAAGATGCCAAACCAGTCGTACGCAAACATAACGACAAACAGCGGGCAATTATTCCTATATCTTAGGGTGACCAGATAATCCATGTCAGGGAGGACACTTTGAGCTACTTCGGGTTTTACAAACTACTTCCAAATTAAAAGCCTCCTGTGCTCGGCTAAAGAGTTCAGCTCTTCTTGTGCTTTGACTGGTTTGTTTCCTTGACTGAAAGACTCATCCAGCTGTTTTACATTAGCATTAGTGACACATGCATGCTTATAGGAGACTGACCAATCAACACACAGCAAGATCTCGGTGCTCAAGTGAAATCCAAGTCCGTTTAATTGAAATGGTAATTTACAATTCCTGTCCTAGCTCAGAGTGTCCTCCCTGACATGGATTATCTGGTCACCCTATATATCTACGTCATCGGGGAACAACATACCGGAAAACAGGATTAAACCCAGGGTATGTTATCAGTTGGACAACATTTTCATGGCATATTGGCCAACTTTGTTTTTACCTTAGTTCGGTTTGTTGCATCGTTCCTAATTAAGGGTTTATCTACAAAATATCAGTAGAATTAATTTCCAGAAATAAACTGCAAATCAGGAATGTCATTTAGCAGTCTTTTCACGAAAAACGTCCGCGCACTAAAAACTTCTTCATTATACACAGAACAAAGTGCACATTTCCATTATTTATTAATTGGACGTCGTTATTAATTTCGGAATAAAGTAAAAAAAAAAAGAAGAAAGAATAAATAAACTCCGCGATAGGTAGATAAATACTGGAACACTATACTTATTGTACAATTATCTCACAAAAATGGAATTTTAATTTCCGTCCATGTAACGCTGCCTTTGAAAACACAACATAGTTTAAAACCAAAATGTAAAAATTAAACTTGTTCTAAAAATGTACCTGTTTTATGGAGTACGAATGCTCATCGCTGTAGGTTTTCCTTTGGTTGAAAGCAAAACTAGATCACCCCCCCTTCCGCATGAGGTGCGCATGCGTTATAAAAACGAGTTCTGGTTATTAACGACTTTTACTTTCGTAGACAAAACATGCAGGTAGTCATTTTGCATGCAGTCATACATAAAATATACAATTTCAGAGTTCCACCGAGCATGGTATTTAAAATTGCTCGGTAAAGTTAAGTGACCATTCATTGCCTCCAAAGTGAGTACTGGTAGGGACTGGGCAGAACGTGAGCTAAGAAGAAAGTAACAAAACAGCTCCTTGCTGAAAGTAAAATCGGAGTAAAATTGTCATGTCTTTCTGTTTGGGCACCAACGTCTGGGGATCTGGTCTATGGCCGAGGCAAAAAACATGTCAGTTTTATATTTTTAGTATTTTGTAGGATAACCAGATTTCCAAAGTCTCAAACCGGGACACTTGTGTAGCATGGTGTATAACAGGTGTAGGTCAGCCTGGAGAATGATTCGAACCCATAATGCTCGTTTAATTATTGCTTTGTCTCATCATCAGAGAGGGATCGGGGAGAAAAGATTTACACAAATTAACATCTATCTTTCTACATCAGATCACTATACATTTTTAAATAAAATTTTATACTTAAAAATTTCAGCGCATCAAATAAGCATAAACACTCACTTTTCTGATATTGGTTTGAGAAAAGGGAATGTTTGTTGCAGCCCCTAATTAAAAACGCAGTTTCTCTTCAGCATTGTTAATTTGTGAGATTCACAACGTGCATTGGCATCCTTGTCTCCTTCGTATCAGGGTGCTAAACTTTGGTCAGCTGGCTGGAGTGAGGTTTTCAATTCGAGACAAATCTGCACACACGTGCCCACGCATTTACATGTGACAGTTTTATTACCTTGTAACGAGCTTGTAGATTTTGCGATCTACCCCCCGCGCTTTTGGTGTAGCTAATTTTAGGTTTATAATGGAATGATATAGATTTGCCGTAAGATTTATTGGTTGAGGGTGAGAGTTCAAAAGCGTGAGTGTCAGGCCAGATGCGTGAAAGTTGGCAGCCCTGTTTGTATTACCTTGACAGAAGAAACGCCTACACCTACAGTATAAACGGCAGCTGTATGAAGCAGTACAAAGTGCTGCTTTTCTTTTGAGTAATTACCGGTTTTGATTCGAGAACTCAACAGTGCTAAACTATAGTGGTATAATATACTGTACACCAATCAGCCGTAACATTAAAACCACTGATAGGGGAAGTGAGGTAGATGTCAAGCTGGCAGAGGGAGTGTGATGCTTTGGGCAATGTTCTGTTGGGAATCCCTGGGTTCTGGCATTCATGTTGAAGTTTCTTTCACACGTCCACCTACCTAAATGTTGGATGGTGATGGTATTGGCCTCTTTCAGCAGGATAATACACCCTGCCACACTGCAAAAATTGTTCCGGAATGGCTTGAGGAACGAAAAAGAGTTCAAGTTGTTGACTCCAAAATTCACCACATCACAAACTGATCAAGTATCTGTGGGATATACTGGAAAAACAAGTCTGATCCATGGAAGCCCCACCTCACAACTTACTGGACTAGTGTTAAAGGATCTGCTGTTAACATCTTGGTGCCAGATAGTGCAGGATACCTTCAGAGGTCTTGTGGAGTCCATGCCTCGAGGGGTCTGTGCTGTTTGGCAGCTTGAGGAGGTCAGGTGGAATATTACGGCTGATTAGTGTATATGGATTACATAGTAGTTAGATTTGCTATTATATTTAAACCAGTTGCTTCTTACAATTAGATTTTGTGTTTCTCCAAAGTAAAGTGGAGGACCTGAATTAGATTAACGCAGCGCTGCAGAAGTCCAGGGACATGGCCAAGGACTCCATTGCCATCCTGCACTCAGAAATTGGATCCCTGACGAGCCAAGGGAAGAGGTGGAGTTTGTCCCCAGCTCACATTGCTAATCTATTCACAGGTGTGTGGTGGTGTGAAAGGAGAGCACAGGCCCCCACCCCACCAGCCAGCCCGTGAGCGAGGGAGGGGGGCCACAGGTGTGCCGTGTGTGAATTTTTCATGCTTTACCTGTCCCTCCTGCCTCCTGGTCCTGGTTCAGAGAAGGGAAACCCTGCCTGCAGTGGATGTTGTGTATAGTGAATGCTACAGTCTGGGCCTCTTCCTGCTCCTGTTCCTGCTCGCCTTCCCCCTGGAGTCCTCTGATGCGCACTTCCGGCTCCAGCCTCCTGTTCCCTCTGCTATGGAAACCTTTTCCCCCCGTCTAATTTGCTCTTCACATCCTAAATAAATTGCAAAAATAATACCCCATGCTGTGTGGTCCTGGAAGTGCTACTGCGCCACCAAACCACCAATCTGCTCAAATAATAAATTGCAGGTTATTAATTGAGGATTATAAATGGGCATGAATTCATTTAGAATACATGCACGCATTAATCTGATGCCCGTCATATTAGCTAGACCCCTAAAATAACACTGGCATGAAATATAACTGTGTCCACAGAGGGCACAGCGCGATTCCTGAGCTGCTTCTCGTTTTAAGCACAGGGGCATTGTGCCATCTCAGGAGCATGTAAAACCCACTCAATAGCAATCCATGAATAAAATGGCATTCAAAAAATGAATGCAGTCCAGTGCCATTATCCAGCAGCACTGGACTGTTCCAGTGCGTGTTCCAGTGCGCCTATTTCCTGGTCAAGGCTGTACAGCTACGTTTTCTGTTTTTCTGTAACCTAGCAGTGTTGGTGGTGTTGGGCCAGGGCACACTGCTGCTGTTTGCACTTAGTGTGCATGCGGAGCAGTCAGAACCAATCAAATCTCATGCAACTTAATTAGAAAAAAGATGCCGACCTCATCATATCAGGTCGCTCAGAATGTGTTTTGTTCTTCAGGTATGAATTTCACCAGGGGGTTCGAGTATTGGAGTAAAGCATCATTTTCAGGTGTTTACTGCTCCACCACCAGGGGGCGCTTGTGGGCTCTGACACCTTACCCGCACCAGTCTGGATTCACTCCCTCATATGTTTACCCAAATGAATTCCACCCGTGTTCTTTAATATTTTCCAGATGCATTGTGACAAGAGTTTTTGCTCATAAATGTAATTTGTCATTTCTCTTCTGAACACCCAAAACAAACAGTACTCGCTTCCTCCCATCTTGTACTAATGGCAATAGATTTTCCAACCTTGATTGCCAATAATGTTCCTTCCTTCCTTCAATGGCCATAAGTGTCATAGCAGCGTCACAGCAGTCATTTGCATGACCCCGCGCCTCAAGTCACACTGTTTCCCTGACAGATGCTGACCGCTGCTTCTGTTTAATGAAGGATGACACTTAGCGGAGCATTAATTTGGATATAAGTAAATAACACGTCGGACGTTACAGTTCCTTCATGCCTTGTCCTAAGACACATTCTGAGAAGACAATAATTAAAGTGGCCTTTTGCCTAGCAGTGTTAATGTTACACAGTATTTTTACTGGGGAAAAACCACAAGCACACCTATTAACTTACTTAATTAGCTGATTAGTATGTTTGATCAGGGAAATCAAGAAGGGTCTGTCAATGAATGTGAGGCACATCCACTGACAGACAGGAAGTTCACTGTGGCGGAAATGATGTCACACTGGATCCACTGTGAGGTACACCAAAAGTCCACTGGTGGATTCCCAAACAGTACTATAATCACAAGCGGTTGTGGCACATACTCACTGTTTAATCACAATTGCTGAGATGTTGGGCAAGACATTGGCGAAGGCAAGCGGAATGGTAAGTACAGTTTGGGGTTAATTGTTTAAATATATTCAGTGTATTCAAATGTATTCAATAGTTCTTCAAGAATGACGGGAACTTTTATGTCTACTATGTTTAGAAATGGAATGGCTTTTGTTCACTATTGGTTTGCTGAATTGTATTCAATTAATCTCCCTCATTACATTACATAATATATCCAAGCATAGGTATTTTATGTGTATGTTTCGAAGGTATCAGCATCAACATTCCTATATAGTTACATAATATATCCAAGCATATAGGTATTTCCAGTATGACTCCAGATGTCTGCATAACGCTGTACTTGCGCTACACAAGGTGAGTTTACGTTAGTCACAGAAACACCTTTGCTGCTCATATTGTAACTGTGTACAGTAGTTGTCACATGGTGAACTCGGCAGATAAAACCCCTTGTTTTTGGTCTGTATGAGACTGTAAAACCTTTAGGTCAGCTGATATTTAGCATCAACTAAATGTTAAAATGTAAGTTAAACAGTAATTATACAGCAGTAGCATAACCAAGACAGAAAGACATACCTTCCTTTAAGCAATCATTCCTTAATATTACAATGTTATTTAAAACTTCAACATTAATTGGCAGGTTGTGTAGTGTTTCTATACTGTATATGCAACATAGCAAAGAACTGTAAGAATGACTTTTTAAACAGTGCATGCAATTGATTACAGCATAGCAGATAGGAAAAAATCCATCATGTAGAATTAAAATAATAACTACTGGCACCACAGTGGACTTCCTGTCTGTCATTGGGTGTGACTCACAGTGGATCTAGAGTGATGTCATTTCCGGGCCCACAGTGGACTTCCTGTCTGTCAGTGAATGTGACTTGTAGTGGATGTAGAGTGATGTCATTTCCGGGCCCAATGGTGCCATTTGTTGCCACAATGTCTCAGAGATCGTGCAATGGCTGCATTCTGTTTCTGGATAACCTCACACGTTCCACAATTTTTTTAAAATAAGTCTGTTTATATTAGCCCATCCTTGTTCTTATGCTATGAACATTCCCAACAGGCAAGGCGTTATTAGGTAAAGCTCCGTCTGAGCGCAGAAACCAAGGGGACTTGTATTAAGACCAAAAAAGGCTGTGTGATATTCCTGTGATCAATGGACTGTAAGATAATTTAGCGATAAATCATCTTTGTGTTTATGTGAGCTCACTGGACTGCTGTCATTTGGAGCACAGCCTCTGCCTCCCATGACAGATGCCCCAGGTCGCAAAGCAGGGGCCTGCAGCAGAGGTCCAGACTGATCCTGCTTATTTACAGGCTGGTCTGCATTGCCCTCATGCCCCATAGAGCCGTTTTGACATTTCTGGTGGAAGACAGTAAAAGAGATGAGAACAATGTAATTCTTCACTTTTGCGATTTCCCTTTAAAAACTGAAATTTAGGAAGCATTTTTTGCAGGTTGGTTATCTGAGACCATACTTACTTTCATAGAAGCTATAACTCTTCCTCCTTTATTGGTCTTGCAGATCGAAATCAGCTGTATATTTTTTTTTTTAGTTTATTACCATAATGCTTTTATTAGGCTTGGATCTTGGGTAACCTGTATCTGGACACTAATGGGAGCCTCCCACACACGCATGCACATAAGTCAATCAAGTATTTTAATCATGCAGAAGTTACCTGAATAACTTCTGCTTTCCACAGTTGCGTTCACAAGATGTTTGTGGGTAGAATTCAGGCTGTACATCCATTTTCTGTAACCATGGTCGCAGAGGATCCAGAGCCTATCCTTGAAGTTACAGGCACAATTTTTATGCTATTGGTTTGAGTTATTGTCTGCATTAATGTTCCTGGTTCTTCTTATTGTCTGGCACTGGTACTCATTGCTCTTTACTGTACTATTATCACCTGCCAGTCCACAGGGGCATGCAAGTGTGCAACTCATACTAAGTACAATCAGCCTGAATGGAACATGAGAAACACACAGGAGTATGGAAGAGATTTCATCAGTGACATTTAAAATCAGGTACAACACACACTACCAGTCTGCAGTTTTTCTACACCACAGGTTTTTACCACTTTTCCATTTATTTCATAAACTGCAGCTTTTTATTCTTTTTAATACTGGAAAATCGAACAACTATAAATGAATATGTAAGTCAAGTAAAACAAGTTTCCTTTATAACATGGAAAGCGCATGTAACAGTGCATGTCTGACATCCTATTAACTGGTTGTGTGGTGATGGTATAGTCAGATTCTAGGCCGTCCTTTAACTTTAAATGTACTAATTAACTGTTTTATCCCATGAAACAGAGCAGTATTTAATATCCCTTTTAGAAAGGATGCCTCAAATTTTCTCTGCTGTTATAACTGCTAGAGGAGGTTATTTTGATGAATCAAAACATTTCATAGACATTTTCTTGCTAATAAAAGTAGTCAAATGGTGAACATACTGTAAATTTATTTGTCAGGAAAGAACATTGGGTATATGTTTAGTAAATGATAAGTGAGTAACATGCAAATGTAGAAAATCTCAATGTGTGTGAAAACTTTTGGCTGGTAATGTACAGTATGCAGTGTAAAAATAGGTCTTTCCATGGCGGAGGCAGAATGGTTTGTTTTGTGGCACTAGGAGGACCAATTTAAGATAAGTCTTTGAGATAACCCTACTTATTAAAGCAATCTGAACTGTAATACAACTGTGACATTTAACAAGGCCACTGCAAACAATCTCTTGTGATTTAGAGGCTGCAGTACCTTAATGACTCCTGCCTTTGTTATTTGGAAATAAAACAGATACCCATTTCAGGCTTTTAAACCTGGCATTGCTTTTGGACCATGCATTTTGCATTAAAATTCCACTGAACTTTGCAAAACACCCCCACGATAGTTTATATTATCACAGTTTGCTTTGATTTGCATTGCGCAAGAACCATGGAAATGAGGCCTCTCTCTGCGGCGACTGAAAATACGGAGTAATTCCTCCATGGCTCCCCAACGTAGAAAAGACATCCATTAACCTCAATGGTTCATCCCGCTCAGTGATGGCATTTGCATCGCCATTAGATCTCCAAGTATTTGAGGGTTACACAAGTGCAATGGAAGAGGGTATCTTTCCCATCTGCTGCTGGCCCCATCAACTGTGTGTTCAATCCCAAAAAGTAAAAAAAATTCCATATAGAATGTTTTACTACAACGTCATACCATGTTGCAATCCATCCATATTTATTCTCTGAATAAAGTGTGGTTTTTAAATCATACAGCACACCAGGAGACATATGGGGTGTTTCTCAATATGCGTACCTGATCGTATTTGTATTCTCGCATATTTCCGTTTTACATCAAAGTTCCATTGACGAGGATCAGTTCCAATACTAAAATCCTCACATGTAGTTTTTTCCCCTCTCCAAATACCCAGGATATATTGGTTGCATCCTCACCAAACAAGACCAGTCCCATAATTCATTGTGCTCCAAGTTCATTCTTGGGAGGTAAGTTAGCAAGATCGGTCTTGCCAAGACCATAAGTACGATCTTTGCATTCTTGGTATTGATAAACAACCCTTTGTGTGCTCTGACGGGCACTCAGCTCAAGTTTACCCATGATGCTCTGGTGGTCTCTACATGATCCTCTTGCTTGCTGCCCTCTTCCTCACTGTGGAACCTCACTCTGGTCTAACAGATGGGTGGTGGAGGACTGCATGGTTGGACGGCGCAGGCGGAGGGAACCCTGCAGCACCACAAGCCCTGTGCCATTCCTGACATTGTTCACAGAAGTCGTCATTCTGCTATAGTCGCAGGTCATGTAACGACTGAAGGCCATGCGGAAGGTCTTGTTGAAGAGCGTGTACACCAATGGGTTGATGCCAGAGGAGACATACCCCACCCAGACGAAGATTCTCAGGAGCTTTGTGGTCAGTTTCTCCTTTACATCGGCCGAGATGACATTGGTGATGAAGAATGGGCACCACATGACCACGAAGAGCAAGAAGACTATGCCTAGGACTTTGGAGGCGCGCTGTTCATTGCTCAGGTTCAGCATACACTTCCAGCCCCTGATAGACATCCTGCGGAAATGCATCTCCTTGTTTGCAACTGGGCTAGTTGGACCCTCAAACATTGTCACCCTATCTGCGGAGAAGCCTGTGGCTGGTCCCTTTTGGAGGACTGTAGGGCTGGAGCACCTGCGAAAATTCTGGGTGGCTGTGAACCTAAGCAGGTAGACCTTCTTCTGCAGCACCCGAATAGTTAGCACGTAGGTGACCATCATGATGATCAAAGGGATGAAGAAAGCCACCAAGGAGCCATACCGGATGAAATCCCCCTTGGTCAACTCACATGTACAATTACTGGAAAGAGTCGTATTGGTGTTTGTCAGGCCATCAATAGGAATGTAAATTGAAATACCTGTGAAAAAGCAAAGTACAGTTAATTATGTCAACATGTAATTCTATTGGTGCTATTTGGAGAAAGCAAGGCCAGCTGGAAACACTAAATGACTACACAACAAGCCAGAGCAGTTGATTAAATCATTATATTAAAATAATTTCATAATTCAATGTGTGTGTAAAATACTAAGCTACCATACCATCTGCTTACAGCTGGGATTCAAACATTGGTACAATTTTCACTGCTAACTGTATGACTCCTTCACTTATTTCTTCTGCTTCTACGTCACTATTTCCCTGTTCTAAACTGATGCCTATTTACACTTTGAATGTTCTTATGTTGCAGTTCTGCCCCGTGAATAGTCTTATTGTGTTCTTGCTTTGTTAGAAGATGTTGTGTAGTTGTTGTGTAACTCCTGCTCCAGTACTGCTCACATTTATACCCGGGCATTCACTGACAGCTTGAAAGTTTGCAATGTGCTATTTGCCTTGTTTCTACATAGCTTTGAACAAAAGCATCTGCAAAATACTCTTGTGTGCTCTTGCATCTTACGTGGTTACTCGTTTCCACAACCCACCATGATACTCCAAAACTGTGTATGTTCAAGACCCTGATATTAAAGTACGTATTTACTTTGTATATGTACACACATTCCCAACCTGTTGCATACTTTAAATTATGCCTAGATTACAGAGCTGTACTTGTACAATGTAAATTTAATGTAAAAACAGTGCACTAGTTGTTATAATGTATTGTTTAGGGGAAAATTACAAAAACATTTCACAAGCACAGTACAATACAATACTTTTTTATATTTTCAAACCACAATCGTTCAAAAAACCACGTATGATGTGGGCTGACTGTATGTAAAATGTTATTTTTACACTTGTTTTAATATACCCAATTTGCACTTAATAGGTTGACAGTAGTATTTTATAAATCCCTGTGGGGAAATTTGCTTTACTCCATCTTGCTCTCCATGAGACACATATGCAGGCGAGATCAAGCTTGGGGTTACAATGAAAGGGCAGCCATCTTGTGACAGCTGGGGATTAAGGGCCTTTTGCTGAAGGACCCACGGTCATGTGACTGTGCCGCCGAGGCTGGGCAACCTTCCAATTACAGACACTGAGGGTTGGTCTGCTGAGCCACACATTGCCCCCTGTCTCATGTCAATGAACCAAACAATGATGCTTATCACTGATGTTACTCCTATACATTACACCCAACTACTGGAATAGTAGGATTTATGGAATCTGGCCTTAGAAAAGAGCATTTAATAATGTCTGCCTGTAAAATATATTACAGGCATTTAGGCGTCAATCCTACTTCCATAGTTTTTCCTGCTACTGGGGTTTCTTTCCTGCACATGTTTGCTTAATCCATTGCATTTAAAGCTACAGTACAATTGTGTCTGGAATTTCCCTATCATTGACTTATACTCTTTATAAAAAGGAATGCAGACTCACTCCCGGAGATTAGCCACACGATGGCGATCTTGAGCATGACCCTTGATCTGGATTTGTACTGGCTGTGTTGGATGGGCCTTTTGATGGCAGTGTACCGATCCAGGGAGATGGCGCACATGTGCATGATTGAGGCTGTGGAGAAAAGTACGTCCAGGAAGATCCAGATGGGACAAAGGAGTGTTGGCAGAGGCCAGATGTAATCTGAAGGACAGAGAGAGACAGAGAGGTGGGGGTCTTGCTCTGGTAAAGCATATTTACAGTAACCTTACTGATTGGCAGCTCAGAATATCCACTACCTGGTTGTTTATCAAGAAAAACTCATAATTTCATTGAATGGTACCTGTTCTTTATTCTGTTCATTGTTGTATTGTCGTTCATTGTTCTATTAATATAATGCCATCTGCTCAAATCATGCCTGTAAATCATCATGACACTAAAATTATGCAGTTTTTTATACGTTCAATCACTTTCACTGCCCTGTGAGCCCAGGCTGAAGAGCCTTTGGTTGTAGTCTGTTGTTACAGACCTTGCTTGTCCCTTTATGTCATAGTCAGCAAAAACATTGAGCCTGGAAGCAATGACAGCACGTGTCACGGTTCCGGTGCCTAATTTTGATGAGGATGGTGGTATTCCATCTTCCCAGCATGAGAACACACTGTGCTCTGACAGGTACACAAGCTTTGCAACAAACGTTCTCAGAAGACCTACATAGCAGGTGTAATTCAGCTGATGTATGGCAGTAATTAAGATTTAAACAGGAGGAGGTCAGAAGCGCACGCTGATACAGTGTGTTGCCACGTCCACCACATAACAAATCACCTCAGGGTTGAGAACCTGAGTACAGCTGTGTGGCAGGTGATACCTCAGCACCAGACTAGTCCAAATGGGATGGAACAATGTGAAGTTTTTTCAGTAGCGGAAGTGCAAGTCCTGCCACCAATCCCCAACGTTTAACCTGATAGTTGTAGGCCTGCCTGTAGGGCTGGATATAGATTAACGTCATACCCAGGACAGAGCATTTGCAAGTTAAGGGCCTTGCTCAAGGGCCCAATGAAGAAGAATTACTCATGGCATTTATGAGACTCGAACTGGCAGCCTTCCAATTGCCAACACAGATCCATATCCTCAAAGCCACCATTCCACCCACATATTTAAATAGTTTATATTTATTTTGTCTATGAAATTATACCCCTGCCCACAAAACAAAAAATTATGTGCAAATGGATAGAGTGACCAGATAATTCGTGTCAAGGAGAACTCCTTGAACCAGGACAGGATTTGTAAAGTACCATTTTAATGAAAAAGACCTGGATTTCACTTAAGCGCTGAGTTCTTGCTGCGTGCTGATTGGTCAATCTCCTACAGTCATTCATGTGTCACTAATGTTAATGTGAAACAGCTGGATGAGTCTTTCAATCAAGGAAACAAACCAGCCAAAGCGCAAGAAGAACGGAACGATTTAGTCAAGCACAGGAGCCTTTCAGCTTTGAAGTAGTTTGTAAAACCTGAGGTGGCTGAAAGTCTCCCCCCTGACATCTGATTATCTGGTCACCCTAGAAATGGAATAAGCAGGGGGTCTCGAAAAACACTGGTAGATGTAAAAGGCAAACTTGTCAAAGTAAATTAGCCATGATTTAAGTTCTGTGTCTGCCTAGATTTTGACAGACAAACATTGTGAGTTTGCTTTAGAATGGTACCGTAGTATCCCAGACAGTATTGTCATTTTTACTCACTTTTACATAAAGGGTATTTGTTCATCCTTATGACATATTTTCGTTATTCAGTGAGTTTTTGATGTAATGCGACTGGCATTTCTTCTCCACATGAGAGATAATAATCAGCTCCTTATCCTGCATAGCATCATAAAGACGGCATGGAGTCTGACACCCTCCACTTACCGGCTGCCTCCTGTACGCCCACTCATTTCTTTGGGATCTGCAGGTATGCTAACAGTACTGCAATATTTTTGAGATTAAATTATAAAGCAAGTAACTTAAAAATTATCATTGCTAAAATTTTATTGTCATTTAAAAATATGTTTTCTCTCTTAGAAAAATGAACTTCTAATATCATAAAAATCAATTATCTTCTCACCTCTTCAATATTTTTTAGCCACCAGCTGCCATTATGCGCTGTGAAGACAGCTGATCAGAAATCCTGATTTATGCCTGCTAATTGCAACTCTCACAATTTAGGTATTTATAAATAATAATTTTTATTATTTCTTGCAACCCAGTACATTCCATCAGCATGACACTGCTGTGCAAAGCAGAAAAACATATCTGTGTTTATTTACTTTTGCAAATTCCTTGGTTGAATTGTTAAGCTACATGAGCAAGCTACAGCATGTGTGTGCCGGTCGTGACAGGTTTAAGTATCACAAACCGACATAAAGAATGTCGGCCGATTTTTGTAGTTCTAACAACTGTGGTAAAATGAATTAAATGTTGATCTGCTCCTTGGGAGAGCTGGATGCCATTTAATGGGGTGAAGCGTAATGTTTCATGCATAATATGTGTCTTTATTCTGTCATGAAGCATGCATTGATTGAGGGAAACGGAACGGGATGTACTTACTGTAGAGCATGTCGATAAGAGCGATGGGCATCACCAACAGGCCGACCAGAAGGTCCGCCACTGCCAAGGACCGCAGGAAGTAGTTGGTGGCGTTCTGCAGCTTCCTCTCCAGTGAGATGGCCAAGATGACCAGGATGTTGCCGCCAATGGTAGGGATGATGAACAGGATTGTGAGCAACGATGGCCAGCATAGCTCCTCGCCTCCCAAACCGCTCTCGCTTGAGTCATTATAGCCCATTGTCTTTGCTGGTGGTGTTAACCCCAGCTGCCCCCACCTGTATCCGAGAGTAGGGGTACGTGGTCCTGCTGTGGTGTGTCACTTTGGCAGGCTGGCATGGTCACATGGTCCCATGGAACAAGCTGGAAACTGCAAGACGGCCGCAGATCTCACCCAAGTCTTCACCTCTCATCATAAACCGAAGCAGACCTGCGTCCAAAACGCAGTCCCACTTGTGTTACTACCGTAGGAGTTAAAACACAGAGGCTCCTTCCCTGCTTAATTCCAGCTGTGTTCCAAGTGTTGCATCTTCGCTCTGATGCTGAAACACAGGCTGCATGTAATGATCTTGAATCACAACCTGAGACACAGAAAATTAGACCTTAAGAGACATGGTGTATATCGTGCAGTATTTGATTGTCATTGGCACTGCACATATTCAGGGATGCGAAAGAGTATTCAGGAGAGTTTTAGCTCAGTTTTAAAAATATAGCATATACAATAAGCGGCAATGATTGCATTAGCAATTTTCACCCAGTTAAGTAATTGCAATTTAAATAATGTCTTAATATTTTTCCACAAATTCAAGCAAAGTCACTGATTTTTATATTTAAAACATATGGATTTCGCAGAATTGACAAATGTTCCATGTTGTACGAGCGTTACCTTTAATATTTCTCTATGTAGCTATTTCAAAAATCCCAAAACAATGTTACTTTCCTCAGTTAAAAGTTTTTCTAACTACTGAGAATTTTGTGAGGGACAGTGTAGCGAATTTCCTCATAAAATAACTGGTAATACTGTGTTCTACGGATACATGACTGCAGTCATTAGAGAGCATTGATGTTGGAAATTTTTACAGCTTTTTTTACATGTAGTCATGCAGCGGTTTAAATTTGTCTTTCTTACCGTTACCGAAAGTCGAGGTAAATGCCTCGTTTATTCTTGGTCTTCACCTCGCGACTGGCAGGCGGGCGTCCTCCGCAGCACCTCTGGAAACAGCTGTCTGTAACATACTGCTCGCTCTTTCATTTTAGATGCCTTGCAGGTTTCCCACCCCCCTCACTTCATCACTGCCCACCCCAGTTTGATGACATGTAAAAAAAACATGGGTGGCTGTCTTTTCTGGAAACGTGGTGAAAACGCCGCAAGCAGCAAATTCCCTTTGTACCGCAAGGCTGGTCGGATTTTCTAGTTTCACCTGTCTCTGCAGACTTCCAAAGTCGTGAAACCCTGTTCCGTGGACGTCTCCCATGCTATATCTGTTCCTTTACATCTCCGCCCGCCAACCACCGCCAACTTTCCCTCCCTCAAACACTCACTCGTACTCAGTCCCATCCATGCGTACCAGGATAAAAGATGGATGGCTTTAGACTGGGGGTGTGCCAGTAGCTGTGGGAGGTCATTTCCTACTGCACAGCAGATCCACTGTTTATATTTTTGAGGAGAGTGGTGGGGGGGGAAGGGGTGGTTGAGGTAGAGGTCGGACAGGGTAGTAATTCTGAGCTCGCCATCCATATTTTTAAAATAACTTTAAAAATATAGTCGCAGAATTGAACATTTAAATCTGATAACTTGAACTGTTTCCTTGGTCGAGACCCTTAATCAGAGTATCTGGTATAAGGAAAATTCAACATATATATAATGAAATAATGAATGAATTAAATAATTAATTCCACATTTATATAATGAAGTTCTACATTTATACAATGAATGCAGGCATTTATAATCCATTTTTACTTATGATTGACATGAAAGCTTTTAAAGTTAGAACTCAAACAGCAATCCTTCATTCGGCACTGAATTACTGCCCAGGAACATTTAGACTTTCCAGCGGTTTTACTTGTGGCCTCTTTAGCTAGAAACAGTGGTGACACTTCAAAGGATTTTTTATTCAACATAATAAGGCCTTGCATTTAGTTTTCAGGTTTTACAACAGCTGTAGCCTAGATAAATATGTAATTTTTAGAGGGAAAGGGTTGATCCCTCAACACACACGCACACACATACACATATGAATAGGATATTCTGAATAAACATAGATAAGAAAGGGTTCAAAATAATACCTACAAAAGAGCAGAATGATTTCACAGGAACTACAGCTGAGCAAAATGTAGGATGCAGTTATATAACATTTTCCAGATTATGTCAAGCATCAACCCAGCAATTTTTTTTACGACAGATAGAGTATTTAAAAATGTACAATGTATAGTTTTTTTTCTAAATCAAAACATTTTATTGAGGACACAGACAAGTTTTGCCATGGACATGTTTGTCCGTGTCTCAAGCAAATGCCTTTTGCGTTTCATTGTACGGCTGTATATTTTGAAATCACAATGAAGTTTTACTTGACCTGACTTGAAGAAACGTAAACTTGACCACGTACTTGGCAGATCTTTCTTAAACCATTGCTATAGCAACGTCTTCTTGCTCAACAAACGTAAGAATTTTCATCCATTTGATTACATCTACAGTTCTCTTCATGTTCTGTCTAACAAGTGGTTCTTGTGAGACTGCCAGACAGTGAAGAATACATTGTATAGTACAATTAAGACATAAACCAAAACTAAAACATAAAGAATAAAACAAACAGGGCATGGGGCGTTAAAGAGGGAAACTGGTACAACATCCCACTACAAGGACGAGTCATCATTCTAGTGAAATCTTACGGAAAGCTCCTATTGCCCTTTTACTCAGTAATTTTATTGGAATTCCATTTACTATTGTATTTCATTGCTTTTCTTATCTATGTTTGAAATTACACAAGTATGTTGTAAGTTCTTACTTGTTCAGTTTATTGTCATTAAATGATTTTAAGGCATCCCATTGTCATTAGTAAAGAGTATTCTCTAAGAGTCATCTAAATGGTATGTTATGCTGAAATGTAGCCAGTTATAAACAGAAATGGTTAACAGGAGTTTTTTTTATAAAGTGTGTAATAATTAATATGATCCTTTATTACAAAGACTTCTGTCATGTCTGCTTCCTGTTTTCCAGCTTGTCTATTCCCACCTATTGAAGCTACATTTCCCTAAATATATTTAAAAAAATCAGCAGTATCTGAGAGTTGGTATTTGGTTGGTTTTTCCTGGTTTTGTTCCCCCCCCCCCCACCCCCACCTATCACTGGTTGGTGGTTATCACTTCGCAATCACAAGACCACCTTTGCTTGAGGCACTGAGAGGTGATCCAGATCTATAAGTAATTATGCTTTAGATATTGACCATTATTGACACAGTACAGATGGCCCTCGCTTCACGGTGGCCCAGCTTCTGATATATCAGCTTTACAGTGGTGCGATGATGCATATTCAGTAGTCAGCTTTGAATTCTGATCAGTCCCAAGCAATATGCCATACATTGCATTCTGCTGGAGTACGGCGTATAATCCTTGCCAGTTGCTGTAATCACACCTTCAGTTTTGTGTGGGGAAATCCAATAGATCGGTGTTTAATTAGCCGCCTTTAGGGTATAAATTGCTCCTAGCTAAAGCTGACGGCAGCCTGCTTACCCCCTCCTCTGTTTAATTGTCCATTAATCTTTCGAGCAGCGCTGGTCCTGGCTGATGTGGCGAGCACCATCGCCGGTGCCCATCATCCGTAGCGAAGGGAAACTGGCTGGCAAGTTGGCACCCTAGGCCGCTGCATATGTCACCGGTGTGATTGTCCAGTTGTCATTTGTTTCAAACATATACACACATACACTATATTTACACTACACACACACACACACACACACACTATTATATGGGTGCAGCTGGCAGTGTATTAATTAAGAAAAATGTTCCTCAAATTTCACCCCCCCACCCCCACTTACAAACACTTAACACCTAACATTACCGTACAACGCCATACCTAACCAAGCGAAGAGCCACTCAGTGTCCCGAAAAGAGAACAGACTGAGACTAAAGAAGTATTTGTCCATCTAAATGGGTAGAAGGCAAAAGTTATAGTTAAGTGGATAAAAGCAGAAGTTATGAGGCAAAGCAGCATAAAGAATGAATTACTCTGTGCGCAACACGTGAGTCAGAGCGATACTGACTGCTGGTTGTCTTGCCGTTGAATGGGATACAGGCACCACCCACCAGTGCTCGTCGCCAAGGTATTGCACTGCTTGCTGTGATACTTAGCTTTGCCCCGATGTGACTTTAGATTCTATATTAAAAATCTGATAAAAATTCCAGTGTTGGTGCACATCAGGAGGTCCTGTTGATATACAAACTGTTGTTGTCAGGGGGCAGGGTTTAACGAGGCCAGATCTTTACACTAAACCTTTGTGGAGCAGGTTCTTCTGCTGTTCTGTTCGAGTCTTGGCTGCCGAATGTAAATACCCTTATCTTTAAGTGGGAGAAAAGCAGGCGCCTAAAGAGTGGTGTTGCTGCTGCTTATGATGGAATCAGTTTGCGTCGGTGGCCCAGTGTTCTATAAGGTTCACTTCACTGTCCATTATTTCACTGTAAATGCCGTGGATATGAAAATTGCCTTAGAAAATACTGCAGGACATTCAAGAGCGGCATAGGGTTATTATGGTCTTTTAAAATTGCACTTAAGAAAATGTTGGTAACATGTTTTTGGTAATTTATAAACACATCCATAACAAATAGTAATGCATTCATAAAGGTATTCATAGTGCATTATAGATGAGAGCTTCATAAAGCAGTGGCAATGCGTAGTAAACATGGCTATAATGTGTTATGCCTTTTTATAAATATTTATAGCCATGTGTATAATGCTTTATGAATGCATTATAATGCATTATGAATGTGTACAGTAAGTAAAGTGGTACCAAACTGTTTTGTGACATATTTTATTCTTAGAGAAAGTCTTACTTTCTATGTATAGTTGTTTTTTTCATCGTACGGATCCAAGCCTGGGAGGTTATCAGCATGAAGGATGAACATTCCAACTCTACTCCATTTAACTTGACAGCTGAGTTAAGGGCCCATCTGATTTTGTCTTGAAGTATCATGATAACGATCTAATGTTTGGAAGCCAAAAGGTGAAAAGTAAATGATGGGCATAATCCCCCATGGAGGGAATGCCAAAGGGAAAGCGTTCCTCTTCAAACAGTCATCATTCAGTGACCTCAAAGGGACGTAAAAGGGAAAGGAGAGATGGAAGCGGTGTGCTGATGCGAGGAGCTGCACAGCCCGTTCGCTTTCAGAGGCTTCAGGCTCTGGCTCATCAGTCATATTTCCTGCCACTTATCTTTCTGTTATGGAACTCAACCTTGCTTGCATTTATACAGAAATACATACAGCCGATAAACCTAGCGAGTGTCCCAGCTATCCTGACTGGGAGAGGGCTGCGTCCTGTGGATTTGGTGCCAGTATGTTCTTTGTGGGCTTCAGTGCCATGTAGAGACTTTTCAAGGGGAAGATGCCCAAACTGGGGGAGGGGGGGGGGGACACTTCATTCGGACCAAAGAAGAATGTTCATCCTTATGTTACATTTTTACACACTGTCAGAAAAAAAAGGCAGTGCCTGTTCCTCAAGGCACACACAACGGTAAACTACCCCCCATTTCTGTGCCTAAAATTAGACTAAAAGGTACATTTACCTACAGCTAAGGTACAATTGACAGACCCTTGAGGATACCGCCCCAGTGACAAATAGCTGTACCCTCAACAGTAAATTTGGTACTTTTTTTCTGGCATTGCAGTTTTTCACAAGAAATAAATAATAAAAAAACGTACTTATACTCATTTATACAGCTTGATATTTTACCTTGAAATGGAGGCTAGGAATCAGTTTTCTTAACCGCTACAATGTGAACTGCTCTATTTTAGCTACAGTATTACAGCTAATAAAGTTAAAATATGTTGCATCGATGTTACCATGATCGATGGCTTATTTTGTAATAGCTGGAAGTCAAGCCGACATAATCCAGCAGTACTTTATTTCAGGTAGTTTTAATCCATCTGCAGACAGCATCAGTTCGCCTGTAAACTTACAGCACCACAGACTGAACATTGGGTCCCTGCAGATCTTGGACAGTCACCTCTTTTTAAAACGCCAGACACGCTGAGTACATCTGATGTTATGCGCTTCCTTACTCCAGTCGCATATCAAGAAAACTGCTGTTACTCTTGCCATGGGGAGAGTACAAAAAAAACATTAAAAACCTTTTAGTCAAGGGCGAATCTGAGCCCATAAGGATGAATTGCCCTGTTAAGAAGATGGAAGAAGTCGTGCCCCCAAATGCAATTTGTTTGGGACATTTATTAGAGAAAATAAGGCATGGGAACATCCTGTCTGCCTTTCCCCTGATTTCCATTCCTAGCTCCTGTTTACACTTTTTTAAATGCGTCTTGGGTGATCAGATCACAAGTGGACAGGGCTAAATACAAGGGTGA